AAGACTAATTTTTGGGATAGGGGAGATGCAGGAAGGAATGGCCATATGGAAAAATATCAGACTAGGCCTGACCCCTTCTTCTCTAGGTTTGGTATAGAATAGGAGCGAGAAAATTTCACATTGATCTTGGACAAATAATTTTCTTTCTTATTTCTTCTCTTGTCTTCCACTCGTTTGAGCTTCCTTTATTTGCACTGTGATTTCTTTGATGAAGAGATATTGTGTATTTATTTCAGAATGACATCTGCACTGAGGCAAAGTTTGTCCTACCTCACAGGGGACTGCTGAGTTGTTCTTCTTCCTGTATGAGAAATGTAAATGCATCTTATTCTTGCCATGACCTTCTGGCACACTCCTTCAGCTGTGACTGTCTTATTACCTTTAAAAGCTCCAATGTGTTTCTTTTTAATACACATTTTAAGAACTCTCTTCAGCTGATATATTAGTTCATAGTTATTATTAGTTTTAATACATTTATTATTGGTTTATTTTCTTTTCCAAATGTTCCAGAACTGTTCTGACACTGAACAGGTTAAGAAAGAGAGCATCTACTAAATCCAAATACTGAAGAACTTTAAGCAGCTCATATATTCTACAAAAGAAAAACACCTAATCCCCAATGCCTTGGAAATATTATTCTTTTAGAAAGCATCAACAATTTTTTGTGATATTCAGAATTCAAATAAGAAACCACCAAGACACAGAGGCTCTTGTAACTGTACCTAAGAAGACTTTGAGAGAAAGGGTGTTCAGCTTGCAGAAGTTCAAAGGACTCTAGAAGACAGCAGCCTGCACAGGGTATTGGGTGAAATTCCAGTATAAGTCAAGCCAATGAGAATTTGAAACAAAGATGTGACTAAAAATCACTGTCATCCTTAACCAGGTTTTTTCTTGAAGAACTATTGAGTTTACCAACAGAATATATAGTCTAGCACATAGGGAAAACATTTACCTATTAGATAGCCACATTTTTCTTTGCCTTTTTCTCACTGCACCACAGATAACTATTTTCCTGCTCCCCCCCCCCCCCCTTTCTTTCCCCCACTTTTGTGTTGCTGTAGGGTCTTTAAAATTGGATGTGGGAAAATTAATTGCAAGGTTCTTTGCCATTATTGTAAAATTAAATCTTGGAGAGCTTTATGGGGACTGCCCATAAAGGGGTAGTCCATAAAGGAGCTGTTAATGAGACTTATTAACCTCAGACTATATAGCATGAAATATTATGTTATAAATAAATGTAGTGCCAGGGCCAAGCTGCCTAATAAATGGCATGATAGAGGAGATCATGTGCCTAGGGAGTTATGACATAGAGCATTTCCCCTCCAAGTCACTATTTTAAATTCACCATGTGTTGGCAGTGACTGAAGGCCATTATTATCCAATGATTCTTAAACAGGCTATGTGAAATAAATTGAAGGTCTTGGTTCATTTCCTTAGGGAAAAAGGTCTATGCTCCAGGCTACAGTAATTGTCATGTCACATGCACAGGAGCAGCACTTGGAAAGGATGTGGCCAAGGAATCACTCTTTTGCCTTGTCCCCTTCCTCAGTGCTCTACAGCATTGCCATGCTGTGGTGTGAGCTAATATTGAGAGTTCCTGCAGAGGCTCATTCTTTGGATAAGCAGAAAGCTTTGTTTCAGACCATTACCAATAATATCCTCTAAGGGCTTCTTCCTGTACCCTGCTCTGATAAATTGATGCTATATTTAATAGTACTCTTGGTACAAATAAATGAGATAACTTATGGAAATATGTATAGCTGTGGTGAATATAATGAAGAATGAAGTCCTTTGTAATTACTAAATTCATTTAAAAGGAATGATTCATTATGAAGTCTTGCTTGGCAATAAGGTAGAAGATAGGCAGTTTGTAAGTCTATTTCTAACTTTTAAGTGGATTCTCATCATCTAGTCCAATTAAATGGCATGCTATTAGTTTTTAATAACCTGGGAAAATGAAATTACAATTGTATAAACCATTGACTAATGATTTCTTCAGAAGCCCCAAGATAATTAAATATATAAACCTATATGAAAACCTGTTTAAATTTAAAAAGGAAGCAAACAGCAAGGCAAACTCATGAATGGACTCTATTCAAGAAATTAGAAGTAAAATGAAAATATTAGAAAGTAAAGGGAGTGCTTTCTCTCCAAAATTTGTTTCATCCTTTTCACTTATGTTCACCTTTGCAATTTTGTTTCTTTTCTTTTTATTTCCAAGTCATCTATTGGCAAATGGAAGAATAAGGAAAACTGGATTTGCTAATATTGTCCTTGTGAAGCAAAGTAAATAGAGGCAGATTTAAAACTAATATGTCATTGCGTATGTAGATTTAAAACCAAAAAATTTAAAATTTTCACAAATTTGCCATTAGGGCTTATTTTTTACTTTTTTTAAACAGGGAATATCGTTTCATTAAAAGCATCAAGAGAATTTTTTAAATCAATTGCACCATTAAAAAAAAAAAAAAAAAGGAAAGAAGGAAAGGAAAACAGCACAAGATATGCAGAATCAGTCACCAAATTTACATACACCACTCTGAGAACTGGAAGTAAAATAGTCATACAGGGTGCCTTGTTGCTAAGTTCTGGTGCCAGGAGTGGGTTGTAATAGTCATGTGTTGAATATTAGATATCCATAGTACATGGAGATGTAGAGCAAGGTTATGATGAGATTTTTCCTGTGCTCTTATTTTTTGGCAGCTCTTTAGTTATAATATGAAAAGTAAGCCTAAAATTATCAAATCCTGGTGGACTTCAAGGTTCTGTGGAGTGAACATTGTCAATTAATTTCAAAATAGGACAGCAGACAATTACAAGGTAAAAACAACCTACCAGCCTCTTCAAATAAAAATACGCACAAATGCCTCCAAATAGCCTGGCATTCCTTACTTGGAAAGAAATGAAACTGTTTGCATTTATTTATTTGCCTCTCTCCCTTTGAAATCAAGACCATAGACCTGAACAGGAGACCTCAGCTGGGACTTAATTAGAGAAGTTTGGACTGGGAAATGACAGTCTCAATACTATTATACTGCTATGCCACAGCCTTACTTCTGTTTCTCCTGTGAATATAATTAATGCCCTGCACCTCTTCTTAATAGCAGCAGTAACTCTAGTGCAGAGACTTTATTGCTCCATGGCCCAAGGAGAATGCTCCTGTGTTTCTGGGCTCAGTGTCATCCGTCAGACAGATTGGCCCTGTCTCAGTTAAAGCGCTGTTCCCGCATGTCTTGTGGGAAAGCAATCATTTATCAGACACGTATCAGATGTGTGGACACTTTTCTGTTGTTGTTTTTTAGTGCTCTATTGCTCTTTCTCCCCATGTATTGACTGGCGTACCATTACAGCATTCCTAGTTTCCTCAGTGGCTGTGCAGAATCTCTTATTATGTCTCATAGGCTACATTTTCTTCTTCTGGAGCACAGAAGGTGGGATATTTGCATCCTGATGTCAAGCAACAGCTCCTGCAGAGCACCTGCCAATCTACAGTAAATGGCAGTATGACAAAAAATGGGATACCTCTAAAAGAGTAGAGTGTCTCTGTAAGACACTTCAGCATCCTCAGTGGTAAATTAGCCATGAGGCTCTGACCCTCATTCCCTGATTTGTCACTCACAAGAGGAACAAGAGAGGACTTATCTGTTACGTTTCCTCGATTTTCCCTGATACAGCAGCAGTAGCTGACTTTCAGCAAGGAGGGAATGGTCAGCAGGATGGTGTGGTTGCTTAAATATGTGCTTGGATGGTTGGGCTTTTGTCACTTCCAAAAAATATCTCCAACTTTGGAAAGCATTATAATGACAAGTAAGATCAGATGCCACAACTGCAGGTGTGAGGAGGTCTGGCAGAAGAGTGGAAGCTTTCATTAGCAGCAAGTGTGTTTTTTGGGAAAACTGAAGCCAGTTCCTACTACAGATGGGTGAATTGTTGTGGCCTGAGGGAGAACAGGAGTATGTTCAGCTTTTAAGTCTATTGTTGGTATAGTAAGAGTGAGGCTCAGAGAAGTAATGGGTGGCTGCTTTGTCATCATGAATCTATCAACAGTGGAGCAATGTATAAAAATGGATAAGAAACTGAAGAAATTCTCTTTGTTTAGCTTAATTGTTACATGTCTCCCTTCTCTACCACAACCACTTTCTAAATTCTCCGTGAGAGAGCATCATCCAGTCATTATTTAATGACTGGATTAATCATCCAGTCATAGAATAATCAAGGCTGGAAGATCTAGGGCTCTAAGATCATTGATTCTAGCCCTTTACCCAGCACTGCCTCTTTACCACTTAATCACATCCCCTGGTGCTAAATCCCCATGCCTTTTGAACACTTCCAGGGATGGTAACTCCATAACTTCTCAGAGAGCCTGCTCCAGTGTCCGACTACCCTTTTAGTGAAGATTTTTTCCTAACAATTAATCTAAACCTCCCCTGGTACAACTTAAGGACATTTTTCCTTGTCCTGTATTGCTTGTCAGGGAGGAGAGACCAACCCCCCAGCTCTAAGCTCCTTTCAGGCAGTTGTGGAGAGTGATAAGGTCTCCCTTGAGCCTCCTTTTCTCCAGGCTAAACACCTCCAGCTCCCTCATGCAATTCGTGCTCAGAGCCTTCTTCATCTTTGTTGATTCTGAATGGGTAAATCTCTTCTCCTTGGCTGGCTACATTAATGTGCAATCAACATGTAAAAAGGGGTCATCCTGGCTAAAGAACCCTGATGATAAGCACGTGTGAGTATAGACAAGACACATTTGAAGATGATAGGGAAACTTGTACATTACTTCTCTCTGAATTTCAAATAGAACAACCTTAAGATACTTTCCCACGTATTTCTTCTCGATTATTCCACCAAAAGCCTGTCCTGAAAATGTTTAGGAATCTTGGTAGAAATGCGTACTCTACATGTAAAACAAACAAACAAACAAACAAAAACAAAACAAAAAACAAACAAACAAAAAAAAAAGTGTCAAGACTTAGGCTAACTAAAACCTTTTTCTTCTCTTGCAGATAAATTTTTCTGTGCTTCTTGAAATACCTGAGAAATAGGAATGAAGTAGGAAGCAGTCTCATGTGATAAGCCAATACTTTCTCTTTCTGCTGATTTTCCAGGCAGTTTCTGGTGGAGTCATGTACGGATATGACCCTTTGCTGCTCATCAGAGCATCATTGATCAATTCCTACTGCATATATGCTACACATGCTACTTGAATGTTTTATTGCTGTTAACTATTGGAAATCTTATTCAAAAGAATTATCTTTCTCTCAAAGAAACAATGTATAGCACCAATTTGTGTTCTTGTGTCTTTCAGTTAATAAGAACATGCAAAATCTGAATTTTGCTTTTGGGCTGTGGTGTATATTCTTCTTCCCCAAACTCCAGGCATGATAAAGATGGTGTTTCAAGGCTAATAGTTAAGAAACCAATGTAGTTTCTCCATCAGTCTTTGAAGTAGAAGCGAGCTTTGGTTTTTGCAGGTCCATACCACAAGGACTGATATGCCCAAACGCGTACAAGCCAAGGAGGTGACAGTTTCACAAAGCAGCCAAATTTAAGACTGAGAGGCCCTCAGAGATTTTTATTAATAAGCCTCTAGAAGGTACTTTTAGATGGATTTGAGGGAATATTTTTGTTTCTTTGTCACTGTACCACACACATGTAAAGCATATTAAAAAGTTACTTCCATGTTCTCATTTAAATGTGAATGTCATATGTTTGAATTGCTAATTTCTTCTTTAAACTGCTTGATCTGCTCATGTTAATTTATATATATGTTTAATAAATAGTTTCTTTACATGTTCCCCATTGCTGATTCTCTGATTGAATGATTTTAACAGTACTGGGACTAAACTAATATGGAAAATTGCTTTTGAGAAAAAAAGGGGGGAAATGGTCAGTAAATTAGTCTTCTGTGATCTCTGATCAAAACAGAGTTTTGCCAAGTGACATTAAATTACAACTGAGCGAGACTGAAACCTTGACAAATAAACTTTCAAAGACTGTCCAGCTGTAATGCCTCTTCTACTCCATTAATAATGTTTCTAGAATATTTACTTATGTGTTTTTCCTGGTATAATCACAAGATTCCTTTCAGCCTTCTATTAGGCCTGACTCAAAGCAGATTGTCACAAAATGCCTAAATTATTAGCTTTCTTGTCTAGCAAAATTTGGCTGAAAATATGTAGTCAAACTCCTGGTTTTATTCTTTAGCACAGCCCAGGAAAGGGCAAGATTTTTTCTCTTCTGAAGCAGGGGATTTCAGAGGTCGTGTCAAGACTCCTCACTTTGATGAATGTTGTTGCAGCCAGGTTTTTATATGAGTTTTCATCAGTGCCATATCCAAGCATTTTTGTGTTAAGTTTGTGTCTGTAGAACTGATCACTTGAAGTAGCCTCCACTGCTAACAACTCAGTCTTTTCTTTAGGTGACTATATTCAAGTCATAAATCACTGTGAGCTTAGATAGGAATGGCCATTAACAATTGTTTCCACCTTCTGTTCATTCCTATTCCTCCCATAGCTTACGTTCTACCTTACACTCCTTGCATACTACAAGAAAAGCATATTTGTACCAGAATATACTGAATCAAATACATCCAGTCTGCATAGTTATCTATTAAATGGACATTTTTGAAGTTGGCTTCTCTGGTCCTTTTTTTGTTTAAATGAAGCATAAATTTAGATTGACAAAATTAGCAGACACACTGCATGCTCTATAGTCTCATAGGTCACTGTAAAACTTCTTCGGTTTCCAAATACAGGTATTATTGGTGCATTCCTGTTGTAACGTTATTTACCAGTTTTATGCTGGTCATATGAACATGATTCATTTAAATTTCTTTTGATGTGACTGGCCAGAAAACATATCTTTTTATATTTTATTTCCCTGATAGTGATGGTGAATTAAACAGTTACTCATTTGGGCATTCTTTGTGCTGATAGAGGCCTTTTGTTGCAATTTTGAAGAAGGTGTAGTCATCAGTTATTGAGTTTTTTATATCATGTGTGGGTTTTTTTCAGTAGTTAGCTCTTCACTTTGGAAGAAGGATAGGTTTTCTGTGCTAAATGAGAATGGATGTACTGCATCAGTTCAAATTAAGCACAATGTGCAGATGAGACAAAACTGTAGTGTCTGGGAGGACACTTTCAATGTAGCACTCAGGGAGCTGCTGGAAAACCAACAGATAAATGCAGCCAGGAATGTAACCAGCAAAAAATATGGTTCCACTGAGCCCTATGGTGTCGGTGCATTGCTGCTGCTATAGGAGCACTCCTCTGAGATGTCCCTGTCGTTTGGAGGAGCATATTACCTTCACCGGTTGCTGCACCGAAATGATGGGTGCACAGCTCCCCCTGCAGCCCAGCACCTTCTCCTCAAAACAATTGGGATCACAAGAATGGATGCTTCTGGCTTTTCATGACTTTGTCACTGGAAAAGATGTCACCTGAGTCCTTTTCACCAGTGGGGACTTTTTCTTGTCTGTAACAAACTTCCAGATAGACACTGTTGCCCTCGAGGGCATTAGAGATTCTGGTCTCAGTTGAGGTCTTTTGTTTTCATGGCTTTTTTTTTTTTTTTTCCTTTTCTGAAGATTATTTTTTTGATATGCATCTTTTTCCATAAGAAGATTGTCTTAGAAAGTGGAGGTAAAAGACAGGCACATAGAATTTGGGAATTCAGTCCCCATACAGTGATACTGAGAGTCCAGGGAGCCATATTTGAATGCAAAATTGAAAGCAGTACTTTGTGTGCTTTGATTTTTTTCATCAAGAAAACTGCCCTGATCCTGAACTTGCATGTATAGAAAAATTGTCTTAGATATTAATTCCTGGATCATAAGGGTATGCCTGTGCAGACTAGCAAAGGTATAAACTGGAGGTACCTTAGATAAACCATATTACAGCCCTGTGAAACCACATATTTTAAAAAACCCAACAAAAACTTGTCCTAATTTAATTTTGCTTAATTTGTTTCTGCAACATATTAAACTAAAGCAAATTTAGGTTGCACTTATGCTAGGCTTTTAATGTGATTCAACTAATCTACTTGAAAGGATAATTCATATGAATTTTCCTGAGTGGTGCCATGTGGATGAGACGTGACACACTGCACCACACTATCCAGTTATATTCTCTCAGGAGATCAAAATGTATAGTTATAACAATGAACAAGTGACTACATACAGAAAAAAGATCAAAAAAAGTAGAAGCATTGGGAACAGGTGAGAATCAGGGGAGGCAGAGGAACTGTTGTGGTGGGCAAATCTCTCACATAATGGCCTTTCTTGCAGCTTTCAAGCCCACCAGAGGGAGCAATTAGTGACCAGATATGTGCTTGCTGGAAGGTTGCTCACCTGAGAGGAAGAGCCAAGAAAGTAAGGTTTTGGGGGCAGATTCTGGAATCTTTGTTGTGATCAAGGAAAATCACTTTGCACAGGAGAACTAAAATTTGAACGTTGATCCTGAGTCTGCTTATGATGCTGTCACTTCTGGAGGAAGAAAGCAGTTTGAAGGGGTTTTAATTATTTCTGACATCTCCACTTCCCATTTGTCTTACCAAAATAGAGTGTGGAAAAGACCTTAGGAGCTCCTAAGGTGCACCTACCTTGTAGTAACAAAGTTCTTGTGCTTTCAGCTAAAGGTACTAAATGTAAACATTCTATTTGTGGATTGCATGCAATGCATTTTGACAGCACCATTTTGCTAATTATTGCACTTGTTTCATATTTATAGATGGTTAACTCTGCTATGGAAAGGGACCCATTTAAGCAAAGGTAGATTCCTCCTAGAAGAGGTAGCTGCCATTTTGTAGGGACCTACCAGTGTGGTCTATCAGAGAATTATGAGACACTCTGTTTACTTTTTCTCATATTTTTGGAAAGTTTTCTAACAAAGGAAAAACAACAGAGAGCCAGAAGGTTTGCCCAACCTGTTGTGACAGTATCCCAAGAAGCTCCCTGCTGAGGAGAGACAGAAGCATGGAAGACCTGTCTGACTGTGAGATCTCCTACTGTAGGTCAGCAGAAAGACATTTCTTGCCCACTTGCCTATTGTGCATGCTGGATTGAAATGGCTTTCAATATGCACAGATATGCTGAATGGGAATTAAAGTCTGCTTTCCAATTACTCGTGTTAATGAATAAAATAGAAAAGCAGGAGTTAGACTTGCTTGCAAATAATGTGTAGCAGCAAATACATCTTAGAAGCTGGATTAAGAGTTCCCAGAGTATGTTTTCCCTTCAGCCTTAAGTGTAACAAGGTAAGAAGACAAGGCACAGCTACATGCGTATATAATGCTAAAAATACCAAGTTAAAGTCCTCAGGCTTTAGGTCAGCTGTTCAACAGCAGCTGAAAGGAAATCCCCTCTAACACCCTACCCCATATTCTGTACCAATGGTTTCTTATACACATATACACAATGTAAGAGTGTAGTTTTATTTAGAGTGCATAAATCAAAGTCAGTTGCCTTTCTCCAATCAGGTAAACTATTTTCAGTGAAGAATCTATTCAAAGAGGAAGTTATACAGTCCACCCTACACAATTGAACAGATAAAAGTATAACAAATAAATGAAATTATACATGAAAGAGATAGAACCTCCCCTCTTTGAATCAAATACATTTTTTTTTTTTTCAGACCACTAGAAATAAATTTTTGAAGGTAGGAAGGGCCTCAAGCACTAGGCAATTTTTATTAATCCCTCCAGCTTTTTACATTTTTTCCATAAAACAAAAATCTCTTTTCTTCTCTCTTCATTGCAATAAATAGCTGAATTTCTTTTCTCTACAGGCTGGAGATGGTGAATTTAAACAACCATAATAAGAGTGGCAGCCAAAAACAAGGGCATTTACAAAGGATAATTATTGCTTAGATTATGAATATTGAATTTCTATTGACATGAAAAAATTGCATCTTACAGACGTATTATAAGCATTGTCATTCACAATGAAGCATGACAGAAAAGCTTTTACTCTCAGCTGCCTGTAGAATTTAGTCACATGAGCCATTTTTTCTTCAGAGAAATGTGAAGCTGAAACTTAGAAGGATGCATAGTTCTATGTAAAAATAGCATCATTCATCTTCCTTGAATTTGGTTCAACACTAGCATGGAGAATTGCTACATAGGAAAGACAGGTGGGGAATGTAAAGTTCTCTGGGGGCAGAAAGAGTTTTCACTTGTTATCTTCAGCCCCATTTAATTAAGAATGTCTCTGCTAAGTAAGTGGGTTGGAAACTTCCAAAACTCTTGCTCCAATGGGAAACTGAGATCCTAAATCTCCAATAACATTTCAAGTGACAGCAGCAGTAGCAACCTCAAAGTCTTAAGGACTGAGGAGGCAAAAGATGAACATGCAAAGCATTTCAGTTCAACTAAAAATAATGACAGTATAAAAAATATGCTGCATCTTATATATATATAGTATATTGACACTCCTTTTCTTTCTGAAAAGTGAAAATAATGCATTTTCTCTGTCCAAGGTGTGCTTTAGTCTTGCTGTCACTGCTTAAATTAATTCCAAACTTGTTCCAACCATATAGATGTTTTTAAAGGCTGTTAGTAAGTAAAAAATCCTACGTTTTCATCCTTAGAAATTGCACACAAAGTTTGTCAGAAAATTTACAACCTCTCTTTGTTTAAAAAAGCATATTTTGTGGGCTGTGGTCCATAAGGCATGATATAACTCGACTATTATGTCAAGCAAAAAAATCTTCCAGGACATGTATAACCTTCTGTATAACCACAAGTTAAAAATAGAGACAGTAATAATTGAACATTCAAAACAGGGTCTAATTTTGCTTAAAAAGGAGAAGCAATATAACTATACTGCTTAAGGTGGGATGTGGTCTTTCAAATGAAAATTGAAAAATTTGTATTTTCTGCTTCTGCTTCTGGTATAGCATATTTTAGTATTTCCTCTTCTCCAGGAAATTCAGTGATATGTTAATTTTGAAGGTATATTCATTCCTTGCAATTTGAAGCCATACAGAAATGGAGGTACAGAAG